AAATCCACTGGAGCTTCAGATATGAACTGGTTCTGATTCAATGGCAAACACAACAACAAATTTGTGATTCTGATGGCCATCATAATGATGATATTTAACGGTCTTGTTCTGTTGATCTGAAAGAGTCAAAGAAATGTAAAGAGGATATCACTCACAAATTAAACTTTGTTAGATAAATTCAAATCTCATTCTTGATTGCAGATTAGAGCCATCTGAACTGTTTAAAAATAAAGCAAAAAAAAAAAAAAAAGGAGGGCACCACACTTTCAGAAGTGTTCTAATTTAACTTGACTGAGGGTGGGATTCAAACTGCAGTACATTTTTACATTTGAAAAACTTTAAGAGGAGTCTATCTACATAAAACACACTACAATAGGAAAATTTTAAGATGAAGGTGAGAGGCTGTTCTATGTCCTGGGATCCTCTGTGGAAAGGCCCAAAGGAATAAACAGGATAATTAAATTAATGAGTTAATGAGTGCCTCCATTTGACAGTTAAGGTCTACTGATGGTGGGAGCGATGAAAGATACTGCTGAGGATTTCCTTAGAAACCACATAGGTTGTTATCACACTTGGACTTCATGTGAGTGTGAAGGATGGACGCTGCAACGCTTTGAAGACAGGCTTTGAACTTGTTCACTCTGATTCAGTCCCTTGCTGTGAATTTGCATTTTCATCCCAGGGTTATCTTTTAACAAGATTCTCAGGTGATTCTTAGAAGCACATGAGCACCTTGTTAAAATGTAAATTCTACAACCAGGAGAGGCAGTAGGTGAACCCAGGAGGTTGGATAACATCCCCATATTTATCTTCCAGGAAAAAGAAAATATTAAACCCCGCCCCCCCCCAACAGTAATGCAGAATAGATCTGAGGAAGCCAGATGTCAAAATTAATGACACAAAGCCCCATCGACATTCTCAATAAAGTACATTGGCCACCATCATGGAAAGCTCTATTTCTAATTCGGGAATAAATGGAAGGAAGTCTTTTCAGAGGAAGTGGTTTTAGAGGAGAGTTTTCCAAAGACATTAGTGCTTTCAAAGTATTTTAAACTTAGATGAGTCAAAGAAGAAAACAAAATACCCAGCTCTCAACTTGATTCTGACTCATGATGAACCCCCCCCAAAAACTGGGTTTCCAAAGATGTAAATCTTAATGGGAGCAGACTGTCCATCTTTCTTTCAGGGAATTCTTAATAGACTGGATGTGTCATCCTTTTAGCAACCATGGCTAAGATTTTTCTTCCCAACTACTGTGAAATTTCCTCTTGTGAGATTTACTGCCTCTGAAAACCTGCTGGAGGGTCTGCTATGGGTCAGTCCCAACTCAATGACATACTACCGAATAACAAATGTGCTGGAGAAGAGAGCTGACTATATCATGGGATGTCAAAAGAATAAACAAATCTGTTTTGGAGGAAGGGAAAGCATGGTGCCCCTTAAAAACAAAGATGGTAAAACATGGTCTCACATACTTTGGACCAGAGGGGCCAGTTTTGGGAAAAAGACATTGTGTTGGGAAAGGAAGAGGGTCGGCAAGGAAAGGAAGAGGCTCAATGAGACGGACAGACACAGAGACTACAACAACTGCATTGAGCTTGATGGAGATTGTGAAGAATAGGTCAAGGTGCGGATCTGTTGTTCATAGGGTTGCTGTGAGTTGTAGTCACTGAAAGGCAACTGACAAGGAGTAACAAAAATTAAAATAGCAACTCCCCAGGGGATCTCCAGAAGGCTCTTCCCAGAGAGATTTCAGATATATGGAGACCATGAGTGGTTTAGTTTGGTTTTAATAGGAAGCTCATTGTGTAGCAGGTTTGGAATTTAAAGCAAAACAAAATCATTTTTTGAACAGTGAAACCCCAAGCCAGACCTATTGTAATCTACTCACTTCCAGCTTATGACAATGCGTGAGTCAGAGTGTAGAACCGAGCTCCATGGGCTCTTCAATGGCTGGGATGTTTACAGAAGCAGATTATCAGACCTTAATTCTTTAGCACAGCTGGGTGGGCCCATCCTGCCAATCTTTTGGTTAGGATCTGCTCTGTTGTAATGGGTGAAGCTGTGCTAATATCCCCAAGGCACGCAGTTCCAAACCACCAGCTGTTCCCTGGGAAGAGGGTGAGCAACTCCCTGTGTCATTTACTGCAACTGCGAACTCTCTGGAAGGTCAACTCTGAGTCGGTTCCAACTCAATGGCACACAGCAACAACAACAACAACAACAACAATAACTGGGGGATTTATCAAGGATGAGTTTAAGAAATAAAGCCCATACAGTAGAGACAATCGATCCCAAGGCAAAGTCTGAAAAAGAAAAACACCCCTTGGTTTTCTTCTCTCTTCATTATGCAAGTGCTTCTCCAGTCCCCCCATCCTCTTTAGATACCCTCCACTGCGCCTCCTTTCCCGTCGCCCAACCAAGGCTTTCATGGATTATGGTGGGGCTATACCCTTTGCTCTCCTCCAGTCTCTGGCCAGGTGCTAGAACTACATCTACTAGACAATGGTCGGGAGGTCCTGTGGTGGTGTAGTCTGCAGGGAGCTGTGCCGATAACCTGAAGGCTCAGCCTCTCTGGAGGTTTCAATCCACCAGTGTCTCTGTGGAAGAATGATGGCTAATCTCTATTGTGATTTACAGAAACCCAGCAGAGGACACACTAGGAGTTGATTATGACTCAGTAACAATAAATTCAGATAATACACATTATGCTACTATTTGATCAACTCTATGAGGACATCGTTCATCCAGTGTATTAGTAAATTCTGTATATGTTTGCTGATTGGAAAAGGACGATGTGAAAGTATATGAGATATCCAACAGACCTTTAAATTTGATAACGTTAAAGAAAAGCTCAGTAACTCGGGTAATGGGGGTACATGTGTTGGTGTCAGTGAGGCTGGCTCGGGACACAGCGGGTTTCAGAGCTATTGTACACAGGGTCGCTATGAATTGCAGGTGACTCATAACAACAACACATAACAATAACACAATAATACAATAACAACATAATAACGCATAACAGTACATGCAACACACAGCAACATTAATAACAATATATAACAATAACATAACAACAACACATAACAATAACACAATAATACAATAACAACATAATAACGCATAACAGTACATTCAACACACAGCAACATTAATAACAATATATAACAATAACATAACAACAACACATAACAATAACAGTCTTAAATTCTGGCAAGATGATTTCTTTGCTATTAGAAAGTCATTAGATTAAACTAAATGGTGCAAAAAGACAAAAAAACCCCCAAAAAACAAAAAACCCACACACCCAAACAAACCAACCCCAAACAAACAAACAAAACCCCTTTCAGAACAATGAGAGTCTGTAACTTCACTCATGTGCTTTCATTATGGATCTATAATGTGCCAGGAGGGAGCTATGAGAGCTGAGCAAGACAGATGTATTTCTGATGCACATGGTATAGAACACATAAATAAGTCATTTGCCCAAGAGAGTTTATAGAGGATGACTGATTCATAGAACATGATGGGGGAGCTAAGACCTGTGAACAGCTTTAAAGAGTAAGTAGGATTTGGCTTTCTGATAAATAATTAGAAGGCATTTCAACACATAAAAAGACTTGTTTTAGGCTTTCAGGATATTTAAATTGAACTGATTAGTGGAAGAAACATAAGGGGAGAAATCACAAAAGCAAATTCAGGTATCTTGAATTTTAAAAATTTAGCAAATAGCAATGAACAAAATGTTAATTAAGGCTAAAACTGACAATTCAAGACCAGTTGAAAAGAAACTAATTACATTCATTTGTTATGATTATTATTACAAATCTCTTTCCTCCTACATTATAAAGTTTTATACTAACTGTTGTCCTGAAAAACTTAGTTACCAGTCATTTGAGAGTAATTTCAAAGTCAAAGTCATTGTTGTGGAGTCAGAACAAACTTGTAGCTGACCCTCCAATAGGTTTTCAGAGGCTGTAAATCAATGCAAGAAATGAGAGGGCATTGCCCATTGTTCTTGCTTTTACAGAATAGCTAGCAGATTAGAACTGAAGGCATTTGGGTTGGCAGTACAACTCCTTATCCACTAGGCCACCAGAGCTCCCAACCTTGGAGAGTCAGTATTTCCTGGATAAAGAGGTAACTAGTCTTTTGAAGCAGGAGAAGGATGGGTCATTTCCTCCTGACAGATAAAGACTGCCTCTGCAAACCCACAGAAGGGTCAGGTCCAAGCTGGTTCTCACTCAATGGCACACAACAAGAAGTCTTTTGAAAACCCACCCAACCAAACACCGTGATAGAAACATACAACACAAATGGCTCAGTTAGGTTACAAATGTAATAGCTTTGAATTTTCGTTCTTGAATACTTTAAAATGAATGAAAAAAACCATCATGAATGTATTATTTGCTTGCAAGTAACTTTTCTAATTTCTTTCTTATTCCTAACAAATCAAGATAAGGAATACATAAAAGAAAACTTACTATCTTCATCTAGTTGGATTAAAATATTTTCTTCCATTAATAATAACCAGTAATTAATTTTAATAAAAAAGTACCTTACAATGTAATAAAAATCTTTGCATAAAGTTCACCATTTACCTGTAATATATACTTATATATAAATGAACACAAATGCTGTACATTCTTTTGTGAGGTGAGAACTATAAATCTCAGATATCTGTCTACTAACTGGAGTTGTAAGTGCAGAACTGGAGCTCTTGGTATTCTTCAACTAGCACTGTTCCATTTCATACAGTAAACGTGTAAACCCTACTAGAAATGTCAAAAGCCATCGCCAAGGATTAAATAAGCCCCTTGGTACTACCGTTAACTATGACTCTAATGTATTAATCTGGCATTCACTAAATGTCATCCACTTACAGTTAATGCTCCCAAAACCCCAAACTAATTTTGCGAGTCCCAGTTTGTTCACATTGTAATAAAATTCTATTTGATTTGACAGGAATTAGAAAACTGTGGAGAAAGTAGGACACTTACCTCTTTCTGACGGTACTTAATAGCCAATTTTAATCTTGCGAGATCATTTCCACTTTGTTCTTCTATCAGGCTATTGTCATCTCGGTAATTAAGAATGATTTCCAGTTCTCTGGAGCTTCTAGTCTGATCCAGAAGGTCCTTGGCAAACTGTTTGCACTGCCGTGACAGTTCCTCATACTCCGACTTGAATTCATTTTCCACCTTGCTCAGTTCCTGCAGCTCCCAGCTTAGCTGGAAGGCTGTGAGGAAAGGGTCTTCGCTAGACAGCGCGATGAGCGAAGGGCTGGCCAAGGCCTTATAGATGTTGAGGCGTGAGCGGGAGTGGCGAAGACTGTCCACGTCTGAGCTGGAGACACACTCAACACAGTTACAGCGCACCTCATGGGGCCGGGGCACTGAGACGCCCTTCTGAACCAAAAGTTTTATGATTTCATAATTATTTGTATGGGCCGCCAAAATAATGGGTGTTATGTCTGGAGTGAATTCAGAGAACTGCTTATCCAGGAGAATGGGAGGCACCTGGGGAAAAGAACAGAGAGGAGATTATGAGTATTCATTCAACTGGTCAAAGCTGTGAATTTCAAGCAGCCTGTGATCGTGGGGTTGAGCAGGGGTCATAATAAAGCTATTGCCAGCATCTGCAGAAGAGAGAGGACCTTTATCATTTTTGAAAATGTAAAATAATACCTGAGGCAAAGATTTTTTCTAATAAAATGACCTTTTTCTATATTTTACTTGAATTATCTGAATAATGATATTTTATCAAATCTTCATAATTTCATAAAGTTACACCTGTGGAATCTCTTTACTAAATAACATTTTAAGTTATAGAATGTTCTTCCCCTTCCTTTATTTTCTGATCATCTAGTGTTCTGCTGAACCAATAAATATACTTACAATTCTTGACTGCTTCAAATCCAAGGACTTTGTGTACTAACATAAGGATTGACATATAGACTGGAAGAATTGCTTTGGGATTTGGGATGGTTCAGATGAAGACCTTCCAGCTTGGTTTATGATGTAGTCATTTCTTGATGAGAGCTGATGTAGTAATAGGATCATTTCCTTGTTGAGATCTTCCAGAATGTAATCACCTCCAAGACAATAAGCCAATCAGTTGAGATGAGTTTCACGGTGGGTGGTTCTATATAAAATGAATAGGAAGCCTCTCCTGTCCTCTGATCAAACTAGACTCTGAATTGGCTCTCATCTCTGGTTCTTGGAGCTGAACCAAGGACCCGTTTTACCTGCTGATCTTTAATTCATCAAGCTCTGGAACTCTAGGAGGCAGGAAAAGCCCCCTTCCTAAGGTCTGTTGCAGGGACCTGGGACTTGCCAGATCCTATAAGAGCATGAGTTATCTCCTCATGGTAAATCTCAATAGCTCTCTTTCCCTGTATAGCCAAAGCTTTATTGGTTTTGCTTCTTTAGAAAATGCAGATTAAGCAAAGGTTCCAGAAATAAGCCCATGTATTCATGACCAACTGATTTTCATCAAGAATGCCAAGCCTATCAAATGGGGAAGCACAAAATAGTATCTTCAGCAACTGGTGCTGGGAAACTTGATAGTCACATGAAAAGAAAATTAAGGTGAACTCCTACTTCATGCTATAAATAAAAAAAAAGTAACTCAAAATTGATCAATTAAATTATCCAAACAAACAGCATTATGTGGTGTGGTTGATGCTGACTCATAGACACTCTGAAACCAGAGGACCTAATGATTTGTTGCTGTTGTTGCTGTTAGTGTGTGCTGTTGAGCCAGAACTGACCCACACATGACCCTCCAGCAGGTCGTCAGAGGCAGTGAATGGCACAGGGGCAGATTGCCCATCTTTTTCTGCAGAGCTGCTGGAGGATTTTGACCTCATGTCTTTGTGATTGCAGTGAAACTTCTTACCACTAGGCCACCAGAAGACCTTTCGGTTAGCAGCAAAACCGTTAAACACGGAGCCACTACAGGTGAATCTTTTAGCCTTGTCAATGAAGTCTTAACTATGACAACAAAGCTATGAGTAACAACAGAAAAGAAATAAGTTGCCCATTAAAATTTAAAATAAGTTCTTTAAATGAATTAAAGGGCATTGATCAGAATGTGAAAACATCAATATGTACAATAAAAGAAAAAACACGAATGACCAACAAGCACATGACTTTGTTCTTAATGTCTCATTTGTAGTTAGGGAAACCAGAAATTAGTCAAATTAATCAGTAGGAAATCAAAACCACAATAAAGTGGATCACAAACTATGACCATCCAGTTAGGAATCAAGTGCTTAAGAAGTGTGCCAGAACTGGGGCTCTTTCACACATGCTAAGGTCATTATAAGGGAGAAGAGGTGGGGAGGAGGGAGAGGGGGAGAGGAGGAGGGAGAAGGAGGAGGAGGGAGGTGGAGGGGGATTAGGGAGGAAAAGGAGTAGGGAAGAGGGGAGAGAGAGAGAGAGAAAGCGAGAAAAAGAGAGAGAGAAGGGAAGGGAAGGGAAGGGA